GACAAACTACAACTACAAACATCATGGGGTTCAGGACCTACACTCACAGACCACTTCATTATGTACACCTGTTGCTTGTTAACTTTAATAGATAATCAACTAATCAGATTGCAGTAATCTGATGGGATTAGACATATGGATTTTGAGACAACAACTTGTTGATTTTGAACATCTGAACTAGCTCAAGCTCAAATGAATCACGAGAATGAGGAAGAAAAAATATTTCAGTGACTTTGAGAAACTCTTTTGCTAAAAACTAATTTTATCCTAGCTGCGTGGAAGAGTTTTTAATCCTTACTTTTTTGTAGGTTGGTGATCCTTTTCTTTTAAATATTTATCAACATATTTATATACCTTACATTTTCATTAAGGTCCTAGAAAGAGATGTTAATAACCAGTCACGGCTGGTATCAGTGGGCTAAGAGGACTTAACCCTCCCTCCTGGCATTTACAATAAAGATGTTAAAATAAACAACTTAAAAATTACAACTTAAAAATAAATACATTTTAGAAATAATGTCACATTTTGTAAAATTTACAACAAAACTGTTGTCAAACCGCCTGGTGAAAATCCCAGGGTCGTTCCAAAGGGCTAATTTCTGACAGCCCCGGTCTGTCACTGTTCCTTCATGGTTCAGAATGATTGACAGACGTCTTGCCACGCCCCCTCCCAGGATCAGCCCGGAGCCACAGGATTCATCCAATGAGGATGGACGTACAAAAACGTGCTGTGATCGTTTTGTGATGTGGGCGTGGCTTGCTGTAGACTGACGCCATGGCGAGCAATATTAGTATAAACAATGTGAATTGTTTAATCAATAACCACTTTTCCTTAATGTCTATTGAGGAAAAACTGGAGGTGAAGAGGTTGGGGCCGGACAGACGAGGATATTTAAATTCAGCAAATAGAAAACAGTGCTGTGTAACTGTGCTGAACTTTGCCGGACTTTAATTCAGCTCGGTCCAAATAATATCAACCTGCCAGTTCGTTTTTACTCTTCTTATAGTTCACTCTGCGTTGTGTTTAATGATGACCAGAAGACGAGCGTTGAACCGAATGCTGTTTAATCTGCATAAAAACGTGCTCTGGTCAGAATCATCGCAGCGGCACCTCGTCCCGTCTTCTCGTTGAATGGAGCTGCTGTAATACACCTGTAACAAACCCCTGTCTAAATGGAGCTTATACACGCACAAGAGAGTTCTTTAAATTATTTTTCAAAGGCTAGTGTTGTATTTACAATGTTGTATTGTAAACCGTCATAATTATTGTCCTCATGGGTTTGCCATACAGTAGACAGGATGTGACGTAAGTGGAGTGTAGCCTGCAATAAACAGACCCGAGCTCGTGCAGCAGTGTCGGTTGTCTTTATTAAGACAAATACGAAATATTACATGGTGTCAGAAGTGAGATTCGAACCCACGCCTCCATGGGAGACCAGTCAGAGTATCGCGAACTGCACGACCGCTGGAGATTACAAAATGGATTCGTCCGGAGTTCCTGCACCGCAGATGGACTGGGGCGCAGTTAACCCCCCCGAGGCCTGGCAGGACTTCGTCCAGCACGCAAAGCTAATGTTTAGCGGTCCGCTAAAAGACAAGCCGGAGGACGTCCTGTGCAGCCATCTGCTCCTGTGGGTAGGAAAACGAGGCAGAAATATTTGTAACACATGGCAGTTGACCAGTGGTGAAGCTAAGAAGCTAAACACCTATTTTGAACGGTTTGAACAGCATCTCATGCCAAAGACGAACACCATTTTTGCCAGATATAAGTTTTATGAAAGAGTCCAAGAGGAAGGGGAGTCATTCGAACACTTTGTGACAGAGTTAAAGCTACTCGTCAATCAATGTGGTTATGAGAACAGTGACGAAATGGTCCGAGACATGATTGTTTTTAAAACAAATTCCCCACAAATCAGAGCAAAACTGATGAGCCAAGGGTCTGATTTAACACTGCAAGAAGCCATAGACTTTGCACGCTCACATGAAATCGCACAGGCTCAATTAAAAGTCATGGGGAACCCACACACGAGCTCACAAGGAGCAGTGCCTGCACATGCTGTGTTCTCAAAGCGTCAGAGCATGCAGCACAAAGGGAGGACAGCCCCAGGCTACAAGGTGGGGAAGCCATGTGGGAGGTGTGCGCAGACACACAGCCAGAGAGATGAGTGCCCTGCAAAAGGAAAGAAATGCAAAAAGTGTAACAAAATGAACCACTTTGCTAAAGCTTGCAGGTCAGAAGCACCAGGAAGGCACAACCCTGTGTACGCAATTAAACCTGATGCTCCTGATGAGG